TGTAGAAGGAGAGGTTTTAGCTGGGACTTGAGGGAAGTGAAGGAAGCCAGTAGGCAGAAATGAGAAGGGAGAGCATCCAGGTATAGCAGATAGCCAGTGAAAATAGCCAGAGGCTGGAAAGAGAATGTCTTGTCCAAGTAACAAGGAAGCCAGTGTCACTGGATTACTGAGTACATGGTGGGGTGTAATACGTAAAAATATTGAAAAGGTAGGGGGAAGGGAGTTTGTGAAAGGCTTCAAATGAAAAACAGAGGATTCTATATTTGATGCTGAAGGTGATAGGAAATGGGGCAAAGGGCTGGAGTGGATGAGACCTGTATGCTACAGCATACACTGTTTTCTTCCTGTCTTCTTTTTGCTGACCTTTCAGTGCCAGGCTTCTAGGAAAAGATAGGAACAAATGGAAGCTCACAAAGGACCAAATGAAGAAATATAAGACTAGAGTTAGCATTGCCATGAAGTTGTGGTACTATGATTATGAGTGAGGTGACCAGAGCACAACACAGTTGGAGATATTTTGATCCCGGAGAAGAGGCAGAGACTGGGATTCAGTAGATGAGAAGATTCAAAGTGCTCAGACTAGCAGCTACTGTAAATCCCAATGGATGGGTGATCTTGAGTTTGGAAGAGGATAGGGAGATTGATTTCCTTTAATGTCTTCCCAGTTTCTCTTGCTTTTCATCTGTGATCTGGATACAGGTGGCGTATATCCCTTTTTTTATTTCTTTCCATGAGCCATATATGGTTAGCAGTCCTTCGGCTATACCTACCATACAACCAGGAGCACCTTTAGAAGGTGACTGGAGGTAAATGTTCCATACGGTAGCATTTGATCTATTTTTTGTTTCACTTTATTCTACAGACAATAAACTTTTGATCACAGCATACTAAGTCTCTGAATCCTGTGACTGCAATAGACCAGAAGCTGAGAGCAAGGACTTCAGAAAGGGTGTGGGCTAGGTACAGATGGTAGATCTTATATCTTAATATTTGAGCAATGTTCTACAAATTGTAGAGCCAACCACAGAAGATAAATTTAAATGGCTTAATTGTGTTGACAGTGTAGGCTTGGCAGGGTGGGGAGCAGGGGAAAACAACCTAGTCTTTTGCAAGCTGTGGGTCCTTTGGCAGCCAGAGGAGACGTTGTAATTTCATAGAAAAGTTATTCTGTACAGGATAGAAAGAGAAACTTAGGAGGTTGAACTGGTGGCTTAAGTACAGTACTGCTTTGTGGGTAACTCAGAGAATAGTATTCCGTGGTTAATTAATATAATGACATGCTACTTTTTTGCAGGCTTTAGGAAGACATCATTCAAGCCACACAACCCAGTGTCATAAGTATAACACGTTTATGCAGTAAAGTTCTTAGAATTTAGAACTGAAAGCAATTACAGACATTTGTTTAAATCCTTCATTATGTAGAAGAAGAGGCTGAAGACCATTCGGTCATTCAACAAGCATTTATTAAGTACCTACTATGTTCCAGGCACTATGCTAGGTGCTAGAAATACAAAAACAAGAAGTCTTTGTCTTTGAGGAACACATATCCTTTCAAAGGGAGATAGCATGAATACATATACATAAATAACAGTATATACACAGTAGATGCAAAGTTATTTCAGGGGACTTTAGAAACTGGGAAAACCAGGTTAGACTCCCTGGAGGAGGTGGTACTTAACCCCAATAAGCCGTCTAGCTTAGCTGTTACCAACTCTTACCCAAAAGAAATTTCTACTATAACATAATTAACAAGTGATCTTCTAGTTTCTGCTTCAAGACCTCCAATGGAGGAAAATCCACCAAGTCAAGTCAAAGTGCATTTATTAAACACCTACTATGTGCCAGGTCTATGCAAAGTTCTGGAATATAAGTACAAGCAAAAAGAAAAGACAATCCTTGCCTTCAAGGAGCTCACAACCTAATGAGGGAAGATAAAATATAAAAGGAAGCTGAAAAGAGGAGGGAGAGGGAATGAAGGTGCCCATGGAGGCATTGTAGGGAAAGTCCTGGAGGAGAGTCAGGAGGTCAGCCTAGAGGAGAATGAAGACATGCTTGGCCCGGGCATCCTCCTTAAAATGGAGGTTCTGGGAGGAATCAGCCAATCAGGGAGAGGTCACAGGGATGGAGAGCACTGACCACATGTGAAGTCCAGAGCTAGAGTGAGCTTCCAGGGTGAAGAGGCTTCTGAGGCATTGTACAGCAAGCCCAAGAAGAAGGTCAGGAATGCGTCCTAGAGAAGAATACTTCTCTACCAGCCCAGCTCTTGTAGCACTCCATTATGCTTTTGGACAGCTATGATCTTTGGGATGGGTTTTTTCCTAATATGAAGCCTAAATCTGCCTTTTTGGAATTTGTAACCATTGCTTCCACTTATACCTTATAGGGCAGAATAAAATAAATTGAATCCCTAAAAGCATGTTGTCACCCATAGAGTACTACATATATGAGCTATTTTTATGCCTATTTCTTGTGCCTCATGGTACCCTTTCAGGGTTTCCTGTTCACCCTGTGCGTGGTTCCTCTCCTTCAACATGCCAGAAGGTGAAATGCCCCAGGTATCCTCCTGTTTCATAAGCCTCACATGACACAGCAGGGTCACAGGAGACATTACGTGAGGCCTGGAATGGATGGACCTACTCCCTAGTTTCTCAGAATTGGTGACTTCATCCTTCCATTTAATATTTTTATTTAAACTCTAAGTCTGACAAACAATAAGTAAAATGAGCATTTCCATAAACAATGAAATAGAAAAGAGAATTGTATGTGAAACTATACATCCCTATTGTACACAGTTTGCTTTTCCTTTTAAGTACATAATACATCCAACTTAATTTTCAACATGTCCTGCTTGCTCATATTTCCTTCTTGCCTTCCTTGAATTCCCTTCTGAGCACTTTAAAAAAAGCTTAATAGACGATCTTTTCTTTTTTGGGGGGGGTTGATGGGGAAAGAGGGCAACCCTGTTACTATTCTACTATCTCCCATCAACCACCCCAAATTGCAGAGAAAAAAAGTAAAGAAAAATAAGGCCCTTGTAACCAACACGAATAGTCAAACAAAATAAGTTTCCACATTCTTTCTGTAAACCCTAAACACATTTGTTGAGTGATAGTGATTAAACAAATCAAGGTGACAGCTCTAATGTCTGTAAAGTTGGGCCCTGACATCTATTTGAGGGCTGCAATGAACCAACACTTAGCCTGGAGTGAGGGTACATGGTGACATGATACTCTACCTCCTGGTACTGAAAAGTCCCAAAATTGTAGAATTTTAAAGTTGTAAGCATAATCTAATCCAACCCACAGTAAAAAAGAAATCATTATTACAATGTACATGGCAAATAGGCTTCCAGATTCTGTTTGAAGACCTACAAAGAATAGGCAACCTACTTCTACTAGAGACAGCCCATTCCATTTTTAGATAGCTTTCATTGTTAGGAAGTTTCTCCAGATAACAGGCCTAAATTTGCTTTTTTACAACTTCCACCCATTGTTCCTGACTCTGCCTTCTGGGGACAAATGGAGCAGCCTAATTCTTTTTCCACATGGCTTTTCTGGATCTCTTCCAGAGTTGTTACTATTATCACTCTGTGATGATACTTCTTCAGCATCTGGTAAGTTGTCCCACAGGTAAATGCATGACCAGTTTTGGCAACAGCTTTCTGTTCCATGAAGCCAATGAAAGGCTTCAGTTATTTCTGGTTGTTATACAAGAGTGCTTTACCCAATTCCCATGTTCAGACTCTGTGTTTCCCTGGCAAGTTGACTGGGTCTTCTTTTTAGGTGTGAATCTAAAGGGCTGGAGTAGAAGGAACTTCATTCAGTTTCTGGCTCTGCCTCTTACTTATTGTTATTGGACTCTGTGTGATCATAAGCAACTCACTTCACCTCTTTACCTCATCTCTAAAATGAGGAAAGTAATACTCAACTACCTACTACAGAGGATTTTTGTGAGAAAAGCAATTTGTGAAGCAGGAAAGACTTCATAAAGTCAACCAGTATATAGTTAAGAGCATGTTGGAGGTCCTAGAGGGCAATGTTAAGGACCTCGGATGCTGAAGAATCTTTCACAAGACAGAAAACAGAGGCTGCCTCCATGTTTTTGATTCCTGGCTTCATTTTTAGGTCTGCCTGCAGAGAAGTACATTGAATTAAACTAACCTGATCAGACATGGTTAATGGGTCATGGTGGGGAAAGGGCGCCGTCAGCTGTAGACAAAGGCATTCATGCCACCAAGGCCATAAAAGCAACCTGCAGGGAGCTGACCTTATAAACCAAAGAAGATTACTAGTCTTGGTCAAAATACTCTGAGTATTAGACCAATGACTGTCCCAGGACAAAGAAAGCAAATTTTCTTTTAGGAGTTTACATTCCTAATCCAAACAAATCTCTGTAACTGCTTCACAGGAATTGTAAGAAACAGGTAATTCCTTGCTGTTCTGAGCTCCATTCACATGGTAGTCAGGCATGGCTAAAGCCCATGAACATACAAAGGGCTTCATCATATTGTTTATGCATGTCTCTAGAGAGGTCATAACAATAATAGTAGTAACTGATAGTTATATATTAATACACATGACAGTTACATAATAGCAAGAAATGACATCTATTATGTTGTACTTTGCAAAGTGCTTTTTCTAAACTATCTCATTTGAGCATTATTATCATTCTGTAAAAGAGGTGCTAAAGGTGTTATTATCCCCATTTCAAGGATGACAAAACTGAAACTTAGAGAAAGTGACTCCCATGGTCTCATAGCCAGTAAGTACAAAGTCCAATTCAAATCAAATTCATAAGATCATAGATTTAGAGCTGGAATAGACCAAAGAGGCCCCATATTTTATGAATTAGGAAAACTGACGTACATGTAGTTTAAGTGACTTACCCAAGGCCACACAGGTAGTAAACATCAGAAGTGGAATCTTCAAGGTTCCAGGTTCAGCACTTTATGTGAACCATTATCAGGATATAACCATGCCAAATCAGTAATGAATTGCTGTTTCTTCCTATTGTTTGGCTCTTCTTCAGTCTTGAGTAGTCTGGATAATAGCCAGAAACAATGGCAAGACATTCAAATGGAATGGTGATAATGAAGATGATGATAATGGTGATGATGATGATTGACATCAACATAAACAATGATCCTTTCTACAGTATTTGAAGGTTTTCAAAGCAAGATAATACACTTATGCAGGAAACACAGATTGTAAAAATTCAAAAACTTAAAAGGATTTGTGGGTGCCTTCTCCCATGATCCAGATCACTAGCCCTCCATGCCTACCTGGTCTATATTATTTTTGTCCTTCTCTTACCTCAAATTCACCATCAGCAGTCTCTCTGATGTATAGAGAACCTTTCTTGAATTTTCCTGATGAACCAAGAATACCAATTACACATATATTATGGAAAATGCCAAATTGCATGCAAATGTAACAACTTCAGAGTCAGTGTTCTCCATCTTCTCTCAAGAGAGGAAGATCATAGGCAAATAGATCATGGAAATACGTAAGATCACAGGATTTACAGCTGGAAGGGAACTTGGAAATCATTGAGTCTAAGACCTTCCTTTGACAGTTGAGAGAACCAAGGACCCTGAGAGGTGAAGTGATTTGTCTAGGGTCACATGAGCATTGTGTTGGAGAAGAAATTCAAATTCAAGTGCAATGATTCTAGGTTAAGTGTTTAGTTTTGGTTTTTTCCCATTATATCACACTGTCTTCAAGGCACTGCTATCTATGGAGCAAACATTCTGCACTCATTCTCTGAATCCTCACTCACATTAGTTGGCTGGGTTTCCAGAGCTTGACTTCCTCTCTTCTCTGGGTCCCTGAGTACTTTGGGAATGAGATTTTCTAGTTGATTCAAGAGCCTTCCCTGATACACTTCTCCCCCCCCCGATTATCCATCAGTATTAATCAATTAGATTTTAGAAAGAAGTAATTACTAAGATGGCACAATAAAAACAGTTGTTATAAAACATCCCTCCAAAGGTCTATAACACTTTCTCTCACAAGGACATGCAGAGTCCAGGGGAAATAGGCTCAAGTCAGAGTACATATGGCAAAAGAGGAACATACAGCCCTTGCAAGTTGTTTTGCTACAGACTTCAAGATGTCTCCCTTAGGCATTACTCTCTAAAGTTTATTAGGTTGTCCTCTGGTCAGAGGTATTAGAAATAGAGGGATTCTCCACCCACTCCTGACCAAGTGATTTCCTCTCAGTGGCTTACCTGGACTGCTCTCTCCTCTATGCTGCCAGATACTGGAATGCATTAGTTCCAAACCAGCTTCCTATTTTGCAGGTGACCCACAGAGCATGACAGAATACATACTACTTTAATACCTTTGATTGATGGATTCAACAGAGCTATTCTCACCTGACAAAAAGTTTAAGTAGGAAAGGGATGGTTGATTGATTAAATCAACTGATCCCTGTCTTTGTTTCTATAACAGAAGAAAGGTCATGTGTCAAGATGGAAAATGTTAGAGTTAGAATAAGAACATCTGAGTTCAAATTCTGCATCTCCACCTTGGACAAATCACCTAAGTTCTCTGAATCTCCAGTCCCTTATTGGTAAAATGAAAAGACTGGACAAGATAATTTCTAAGGTCCCTTCTAGCTCCAATTAATTGTCTAATAGTTAATGAGGCCTATGAGAGTATGAGATTAATAGACTTCCCTATAGGCCATATGCCAAAAACCTCACACGATGAGGGAATTCTTAATTCAATTTGTGGGGTTTTTTTGTTTCTAATGAGGTCATTTTCTATTCCACATAATAATTGCCAAATTTCAACCCACTGGTAATATTTTAACATGTTGTTTTTTAAAATAAAGTAATAGCATCTTTCAGAATTATTATTACTACAATACATCCTATTGGCCTTGAGAATGTCTTTCAAGGAATTTTGTTGCTCATCTATTCAGTCTCATAAATCAAGCAAGCTAGCAATGAATAATCATTTATTATGCACCTGCTATATGCCAGGGACTGTATTAGGTGATAGGATTTCAAAAAAAATGAAACAATGCCTGCCCTCAAAATACTTAAATCCTATTGGTGGAGACTGTGCAGATATTAGTATATACTGCAATTTAGCTATAAAAATAAGGTTTATTTGAGGAATGTTGAGTTGGGGAATGTCTGTCTAGTAGAATGAAAGTTCCTTGAGAGCATGGACTATTTATATCTTTTAAAAATTTTGTCCATGGCACCTAGCACAGTAGCACACTGTAGATGCATAATAAATGTTTATTCCCTTCCTTTCCCTCCAACAAATGCTTAGTGAATTCTTCTTCAATTAATAAATTAAGAATCAATCTTAGTTATCTGTCATTCATACCTTAGCATTCATATCACCCATTGTTATTCTACTTCTAACATCTTAACTCTGAAACTCTTCTCTTTGAATATAAGTTCTATCATTCCATCTTTCTCTCTCCTTCATGGAATCACAGAATTGGACCTCATACTTTACCTTCATCAGGCCCTTCAGTTTTCTCTCTCCTCCCAATTTCTCAGTGCATCACTCCTGTCCAGGCCTCTTTTTATTTCATGATTCTTGCTCTATAGTTGACCAGTTAAACTATACCCTAAACTCCTTGCCCCTTGTCCTACATTCATGCCCCAGAAAACCTCAATTCTGAGTAACCTCACCATCCACCTCTCTTCTCATACTCATGTTCTGATGCACTTTGTCAACAAGCACTTATTAAATACCTACTATATTCCTGGCACTGTGCTAAGCACTGGGGATACAAAGAAAAGAAATTCATGGCTCCTGACCTCAAGAAGCACTTATTTTAATGAGGGAGACAACAGGCAAACAATGTTGTACATACAAGATATATACACTGTAGATACTAGGTTAGCCTCAGAGGTAAGGCACTATAAGTTGGGAGTGGGGAAGGAGGGAGACTTAGAAAGGCCTCCAGCAGAAGATGTGATTTTGTCTGCATCTTGAAGAAAATCAGTGAAGCCAGGAGATGGGGGAGAGGAAGAAGAGTATTCCAGGCATAGGGGATAGCAAAATAGTAAGAAAGCCAATGTCATTGCCAGATCATAGAATACATGCTGGTGAGGAAACTGTAAGAAGACTGGATAAATAGGATAGTGCCATGTTGTGAAAAGTTTTAAATTCAAACATGGTAGGATAGGTGGTAGAGAGTGACATGCTCAGACCTGCTCTTCAGGAAAAATGACTTTGGCACCTGAATGGCGGATTGGAATGGGGAGATATTTGAGGCAAGGAGACTAGCCAGAAGGCTAGTCTAAGGGTTATAGCAGTGTCAGAGTAGACAATAGGAATGATAGATATGACGGTAGAAACAAGAAGACTTGGCAGTAGATTGGACATGTGGAACTAGTGTGAGAGAATTGAGAACGATAACAAAGGTTGTGAGCCTGGGTGACTGGGAGGATGGTGGTTCCCTCAACAGTAATAGGGATGTTCGGAAGAAGAAAAGATTTCAAAAGTAAAATAATGAGCTTTGTTTTCAACATGTTGAATTTGACATGTCTATTAGATGATGTTATAATCTTACCTCTGACACATATTATACATATACTGAACAAATGACTTAACCTCTCAGTTCCCCTGCCAACTCTCCAATCTACAGGTTTCAGGACAGAAACTGATGTTCACTGGAAGGAGTTTTCTCTCAGAAGAGTTCTCTATGCTAATAAAATCACAGGCCTAGAATATGCATAGATTCATATATACATGCATGCATGCATATATACATATATAAACACATGTACAAAATATATGAACATAAATCACATGAGAGCCATGGTTATTATTTAGTTTGCATATTTCCCTTAGCAAGCTACAGGATTCCTAAGGATGTTTCTGGGACTTAATTTGCTTATGAACTAATTTCGTGGGACCTTATGGAGAAAAATTGGGGGACTTTTGCAAAGTATCCTAGATGCCTGAATTATGATGCTGAGTGATGATCTCTATTGTGTAGATCTCTGCAAGCCTCCCTAAGCAATGTAATGTGTGCCCTGAATCCAGGCAAGTCAGCAGACTAAATAGCTCAGAATGTGATGCTGTTTGATGAAGCATAGATCTATTTCCCTAGGCTACCCAAAAGGGCTCTGAATCAGTTATCTCAACTTTGAGCTGCCGCCTGAAATGTCTTCCACTGAAGGACTCAGCATAAACGCTACTAAAAGCCATTCTCTAAAGGTGATGAAGGAGAATGTTGATGATCTTTTTACCTTTTTACCAAGGAGTTGGGAGCTACTGTAAAAGAGGCCCTGAATAGGCCTCGAAGTTGGAAGCTATTCACACAATACACCTGAAAGAGCTTAGAGGATAGGAGTTACAAGTTAGGGTATATCAGAGTAAAGAGGAATTTATGTCTGGGAGGTCTCTGTCTTTCCTCCCTTTAGCCACTTCACCACCCTCCCCTTGGGAAAGGATTGACAGCCTTTATTGTTTATGTACATCTTGGAGGAGGGCAGGGTTTGTTTGTTTGTTTTTTTTAAATAATATTCTCCCTTGGAAGAGACAACAATAGTATCCAATCAGATGACCTGAAGGGGTTTAAATCCTAGAAACTTCTAGATGAAACCCCAAATCAATTAAGGAAATTCTGAAATATATCTAGGTTCTAAACTTCTTAATGGAGAATAGGGCTCCTAAAAGAAGTTTGTACACAATTTGATTTTTCTCCTTTCTTAAAGTTTCCCACAGTCAAGGACATCTGGAGTATATTTATCATTCCAGATTTTCAAGATGAAAGTGTGGACCAGTTATATGATTATTTTCCCACCAAAACAGGAGGTTTTAGTAAAAGTTTCATCACCTTTGGATTCTGCATCTGCTCATCATGTGCTCTATATCATGTTCATTGCTCATCATGAGTTGAAATGACTGTCTATTTGCCTCAGATTGCATGCCATGGGTAAGAGTTGAAAACATTCTTCAATGTCTTATCTTGATAAGAGCTTCCAAATAATCTTTCCAATGTCTATTGGTAGCCCTCCAAACAGCATTCTGCTCTCCATCCTTTGATCTGGAGGCATCCATCCTAGATAGATACAAACAATGGTTAATTTTGGCAGCGCTGGGGAGCACAGGCACACTTATGCACACATGTTATGGATATTAGTCTAATGCTTAATCTCGTTGCCATTCTAACATCTGTTCCTCAAGTCACAAGCCCTCACTTAAACTTATGCCATGGCTTATAAGTTTTACAATCTCTCTCTCTCATAAAGACAATGCCATTTTGCTAAACAATGAAAGCCTCACACTTGGGAGTCGTTCAGCTTTTGGACCTCCCTTTCTTTCCTGTCAGATAATCATTGACAGCTGTTGGTAGAAAAAACAAATGTCTCTTCAGAGAAATAGGGATGATGGTAAACTGAAGGATAGTCTGAGTGTTAATGACATTCTTCAACTATTGCTAATCAAGGCTCAATTAATATACGACAACTGTTCATTTAGTTTCTATTTAGGAACTAGTGAAAGTGGGCCTTATTGATTGGGTTATGAAGGGCCTCAACCATGATCTTTTATTAACATAATATATATCTTACCACCATTGTTGATGTCCATTTTAAGAAACATGTGAGAAAATGAATTGGCAGATGAGCTAATAATCATTGGCTTCTGGACTTTGAATACTGTGGGCATCCATGCTATTGATGATAGGAATAAATATAGTCAGAGTCGGTAGAATGTAATTTTGTTGAGATCAGGACTGTTCCAATGTGTCTTCTTAGTGCCTGGTGTATAGTAGATATTTATTGAATACTTGGTTGATCTCAGGTGATCTTGATATGTTTTATTCTTATTTCTGTGACAACATAGTGATGGTGCGTCTATCTTCCTCATACTGGACTACGAAAAAAATATTCCCTTGGAGTCACCCCTTCCCACTCTTTCTTTTGTAGTAGCTATAAGTAGTATAATGGATAGAGTGTTAGACTTGGAGTAGGGCAGGAGTGAGTTCAAATTCTGCCTCAGAAACCTACTAGATATGTGATCTTGGGCAACTCTCAGACCCTCCGGTTTACTTATCTATAAAATAGGGATGATAATAGCACCTACCTCACAAGGTTGTTACAAAGGTCAAAGGGTATAATATATGTAGAGTATTTTGCTAACTTTAAAGTGCTATATAAATACTAAACATCATCATTGTGGGGGGGGGTATGGTTTTATTCTAGGGATTCACATCCCTTTTGTGTCCTCACAGAAAACTAGAAGGGATATGGACAAAGCCAAAATAAAATGCCTTGCTTTTCTGTTGATCAGAAATTGTATCTCACAGATGAACAGAAGCAGCACATTAGCACAACTATTACTATTGGTAGATCTGAGGACAACTCTACAATCCTTCAACATTGTCTGCTGTGTTTGTGTTTTCCCTACATTACAAGCCACAAAAAGACCTCCCTTTGGTAAAAGCAAATGACTTTTGCAAACTCTGAACTAAGAAAGCAAGAAAATAGATTGAAAACTTTTTAAAGAAGTATAATAACATTACATACATCTTTTCACCAAGTTCAAATTTGTTTTTTTTTTTACTTTTAGAATCCTTAGCTCAAAGCACTATTTCAGTGCTAACTCTAATAAAGGGTCTTTCCTGATCTTATTTGTGAGTGCTCTCCCCTCCCCAACTTGATATGGCTTTGAATATATTTTGCACTTGCTTATCTGCATCTACAAAGCCTTTATAACATCCAGGGATCCTTAGTCCAACTCCTATTCACATTGATAAGTCAGACTAGCTCTTCCCCGAAGAATTCTAGGGGTATCCCTTAAGGACTGGAGGCATCTTTCTACTACTATAGGCTCAAATCCCTATTATATTATGTTTTCCACAATATTAATAATCACCAGTTACAGTTACAATTTCCTTTGTTAGATGAGTACTCTCCAGTGATTAGCACCAGTTTTATAAACACAATTAGTATCAATAGGTTGTTACAAAGGAATTTTTGCTGAGAAGATATACAAAAGCATAAGTACCAACATTTTCCCCCAACATCAGAAGCACACTCTCCCCTGTACTAGCTTGATCTATAGGAAGAGTATACTCAATCTTAACAAAGTTACCACAAAATATTTATCCTCCAGAGTTGGCCAGCCAGTTGACTCTAATGCAGTGTAACCAAAGGATGATCCTTTCCCTTTTATAGGACCCAGCATCTTGGGTAGAGGTCAGTGCAATGCTGGGCTGAGTCCTGGTCACTCTTTGAGTCTGTTCTGGTGGACTGGGCTCAGCTGGCCACGAACTCAGGCCTACACTTCAGCACCCAGACTTCCGATGCTTCTCTGAATGTTTTGCATCTCTCAAAGGTCACAGCAAAATCCTTTAAATGGCCTGCAGCTCTTCATGTATGTCAGAAGAGAATAGACCCAAGAGGAAGAGCAACAGGTCCATGTGCTCATGGCTTCATGTTTTCTGGGTGAGAGGAGTAGGCTGCTGAGCCCTAGTCCCACCTCTATCAGCAACAGCCGGGTCCTATACCGAAAGCTTCATTCCGGGCCCTTCCACAGAAAGAGGGACATAGTAGCTCATTCTCTTCAGTGGACATTGTGGAAGGACAAAGAACCTCATTGTGCCAAAGGGAGTCTTTTGTATACACTTACATTTCTGGCTCAGCAACTAATCAAAAGTCTGTTTTTTCACCACATGTTTAGTGGACAGAGAACAATCATACTGAAGTGAAAAACAGGACCCCTTCACTATATATTATCACAGACTTTCAGAAGAAATCTGTCCCAGCAACCTCAGGTAAAATAAAAGCATGTTATGCATGCTCTGAAGATGAGGATCCCATTGGCTATCCTCCCATTATGACAAATATTAAGGAACCACTTCTTGGTTTAGCAGGGCTAGAGTATAGTGCCCCCTTCCTTCTTCACTAGGTGATTCCCTTGCTCTGGAACCAAGCTGGATCAACACAGTACCTAGAACATAATAAGTGACTAATAAGTGTTTATTGATTGATTGACTGAATGACTGACAAGCAAAAAGTCTTCCCTGGATTGAGTCCTAGGGAAGCCTGGCCTTTAATAAGACTATATTTTCTTACATTCTTTGACCTCCCACCATGATATCCTGATTATTTAAGGCTTAAGTTTATGATCATGCCTAGTGTTTCCTCAAAACAGAGCCCTCAAAAGAGAAAGAAGAAAAATATTCAATCTATAATATGAATCAGGTATGGGACAGGTATTTATTTCCCACACACAAAAGAAGTGATAAAATATAAAAGATTATCACAAGATAATAAATAAGTGGCAGTACTATCCTTAGTTGATCATTAAAACTACCTAAAAATGAAGTAGTTTGAAGAACTGCTAAGTAGGTATTTTATATTTATAAATTTCAACTCTGGAATTGTCAACCAACTCCTAGTGCATATCTTCTGGTAAAATAGGGCAGGCTTGGACTAGTCCTCTTATTGATGGTCATTTTATCCAAGAGCATTGGAGTAGTTGCTGAGGACTCTGACCAAAAAGACTTAGGACCTCCATACTTCTCAGACTCTCAATGGTCACTTCCAGGCATGGATACATCCATCTTGGGTTATATGCTCATTCACCTAAATCAGAAAAGAGAAAAACACAAAAAAAGGACAAGGCAGTCATGGGGCCAGGTACAAGTTCACCTAGTTAAGCCTCTCTACATTAGCTGCCCTATAGGTGAGGTCACCATGATGCCAGACTTGAGAAGGGAACCAACACTCCCCTATCCCTTACTGCAAGCCTTATGATGCCACCTGGAGAGTCAAAGGAAAGAGGCTGAGCCAGAAACAATCTTTTAATGGATATAACAATGGATCCCTCTACCACTCTTTGGGGCAAAGGAGGAAGGGAAGGAGAGGATAAACAAGGCTTGTCAGAGCACATCTAAATGCCAAACGTTTTCCAGAACTGGATCACTACACGTCTGGAAGCAGCCAGGGCATTCATCATGTCCTATATACCTAAATACTGAGCTACCACATTTGTTGATACAGAACCAAGAAGAGCAATTCTGAGCATGTTCTATGGGATGTCCTTTGTTCCCTGCTTAAATGTTGCATGCCCTGCCTCCCTTTCCACGCCATTCTACCCTCTCAGTAGAATACAGCCTTCTTAAAGGAAACAATCCTTTAAAAAAAATTTATCCCTCTTACCTAGCATAGTGCCTTGTACACAGTAGGTGCTTAATATATGCCTGTTAGATAGTTTTCCCTTGTGATTGAAACACAAGGACCCCAATGTTCTTATGTTGATCATCAAGGAATTCAAACTGACTTTAAAAGTTTTTCATATATATTTTTATTCTGAACTTAACAAACACCAAATAAAATTTTCCAATGATATAGTAAAACAAAAAAGGGGGGATTGTACCTGAAACTATATAATTTCATTATATACAGCTTGCTTTTGTTTATAAACATAACACCAAAATATATGTAATTATATTTATTATGCATTTATACATAATTATGTATAATGTACACATGCAACATTTTCTATATAAAAGTACATTATATATCACATCATATGATTAATTAGTTGCATACATAGTATAATCAAATTATATAGAATATGATTTAATATAATACAATAAATTCCACCTGTAACCTTGAAAGCTATTCTGCTTGTCTATGTTTCTTTCTGGCCTCCTTTTTTCATTCTCTTCAGTCCATTTTTGAGGCAATCAAATGCTGTAATAGATAGAGAATTCGACCTAGAGTCAGGAAAACCAGAGTTCTTATCTAACCTTAGACACTTATTAGCTGTGTGACCTTGGACAAGTCATTTAACCTCTGTTTGCCTTGATAGCACTTACCTCACATGGTTGTTATGAGGACCAAATTGCTCTGGTTCTGCTTACTCCCCCCTGCATCAGCTAATACAAGACTATGCAGACATTTCCGAAACTATTCCTTTCATCATTTCTTTTTACTCAGTAATATTCCATTACATTTGTTACCATATT